TGAACGGTTTATTTCGGAGCCTTGGTACCCAATTTACTGATGCTCATGCAGTTGTAACTTGCGACAGTTTCCATTTTACTGGTTCGGCACAGTGCACTGCGGGTCTCAGGATGACGTTTGACATCTTTTGAACAGAGTCAGTCTGCTCTGGAGCAAACTTGTGCTTAGCACACAGCTTTTAGGGTGTACCGAATCCATGTGATGATAGGACGATCCCATGTAGCAGTATAGTTGACGAACTGGGGTGGCCCGACTGAAGCGGCATTCTGTTGAATGGGAACCATAAGTGAAAACGAAATTGTCATTGTCATTTGAAACAAGGAGTGAAACAAGGAGCATCCACTACTTGACCTGCATCATTGACCATCATTGTCACGCATCATTGACCTGCCCTGCACCCGTGTCACTGTTATATGCGGTACATATGCCGTGTTACAGCTATTCAATAAATTACCGATTATCGGACACAAGGCACATAACGTGAGCGTCTTGTGCAGCAATTATGATGCACATCTCTGAAGGGATGGCACAAGCTGTATCGGGATGAAGAGGGTGTCCAGACCGCTGCAGTAGTCACAGGGGCGGCGCGGCTCGGAAGTGCGACGGCGCAGCGCAGTTCGTCTCTGGCCCGAGATGCACTGGTGCTGCCCGTCCTGCGGGTCCTGCAGCAGCGGCTCCCCATCCAGCTGGGAGGTGGACTGCAGCAGATGTTTGATATGCTCGATGTGCCGCAGGTCGCTGGACAGTTGTGCGCGTGCCGCGGTGCACGTTCCCTTTCTCGTATCGGTCCGCGCTTTCACTCCAATCCCAACGAGCTGCTACAACTGTCACCGGTTCGGTCCTGGGAGCACAACATGCAGACGGAGTGTTCGCTTTTAAAAGTGCGGCGCGGCCGCACATGACGGCATTGCCTGCACGACACCGGCGGAGCGGCTGAATTGTGGCGACTCGGGACATTATGCTAACTCATCGCAATGTTCTGTGTGGAAACGTGAAAAAGAGATCTGAGCAGTCAAGGCAACGACAAGTGTGCTATATCCCCAGGCACGGCGCACCGTTTAATCAGAGATGTTTCCACAGCCAAACAAAACAGGTGTGCAGACAGCAAAAGTCAAGGTTGCATCATGTGGAACACAGACCGACAATATTTCCCAGTTTCCTCGCTGAAGATACTCATCCCCCTCCCCTTCTCGCACCTCCGTCTCAACTGAACCGACCACGCAGAACCAGACGACTAATACTGCCGAGTCGCCGCCGGTCGGGCGTTAGGACGCCCAGGCGCCCGTACACCCCCGTCTCCAGGCTGGGCGGCGTTCCAGCCCTCCGGCTATGCGCGGTCCGCGTGCGGCTCAGGCCGTTTGGCGTCCTAGCCCTCCAGCTACGAACGGTCGGCAGCCGATGCTTTCCAGCCACCACAAAAACGGCTCCCTTCCCCCTGCACAACGCCTGCCACACAACACGCCCGAGCGGGCACTGCTGGTCCCGTCCCCCTGCGAGGGCGGCCATGGGCCGTCCACGGTCAGTTTTGTTTCGGCTGATTCCCACCAACCGGTGGAAATGGGTCCGTTCACCAATAAACGTATTTTTTATCGCTGTGTGATTGTCGAGGTCTAATTCAAAAATGGTCTGGAATGAAAGCACTTTTGCCGTCTTAGCCCAAATCATCATCGCTGTACAGAAAACTTGGTTTCTTCCTTCTGACCCATATAAATTTAAAACGTCAAATTACTCGCTGTATCGCTATGATGCCACCGGCGGGGAGCATCGCTAGGTTGGTTTGGCGCTGTGCTGTACATCACTCGAATCAACACGCATGTCACTCACACTTACCACACCTCTCCAGACTGTTGCATGTTCTGTATGGCTGCATGGCTGACGATCGATGTATGTTCTTTATATATCCTCTTAATATATGCTTGCATACTTTATACATCATGCATCCCACCCAATCTTGACAAAACGGAACATTTGCCGTAAAAAAACAGATTGGCACTCAATTTCGCAACCTTTCTCCGAACAATTCTCAGTTCCACCTTACACCACTTTTAATCATGCTACTGATGCAGTTTCACAACTATGGCGCGCTGGAATCTGCGGAAAGCCGACCGGGCCAAGTTTTAGGAACTTTGTTTTGCAGACCACAAGCGCTATGGCTGACCAGAATAGGGAGTCGGACATATCACACATGTTCTTCATTGTGCAACAACCGTAACAATGCCACTAATTTAAACCTCTACCACGACGCCTCCCCGTGCCATAATGGACAGATGAAATTACTGAGGTCATGGCGAGACGTAAACGTGCTTTTCACAGTTATCAACGTAATCGCGATACTCCTCATTTGTTGCCCGCAAGTCTGAGCGCGCACGAACCACGGAAATTATTAAAGCCCCCAAACATCGTTCTTTGCTAACCTTTCTTCGACAGTCCAAAACAGCCACTCCGTTTAACCCAAATTTGGAGATAAGCTCGTGCACTTCTTGGCAAGCGGCAGTCTTTTTCCTTTCCAGCTCTCCGACAATGATTATCAGCAATTGCTTTAGTTACTTTATCGTCCCATGTCATGGAGGCTCTCGCTTAAAGTCTCGCCCGTTGTAGCTCTCCAGAATTACAACGCAGGCTTCGTGGGTCAAGCGCATTCCCGTTTTTCTTTAAATCCCCATTGCTTTCTTTTTACGACAGAGAAGACTGTGACATGTCATTTTCTTTCTTAGAGCTCTGCGATGCAATTAAGTCCATCGATAACACTTTAGTAGCCCAGGATGACTTACATTACGCTTTTCTTCGTTACTACCCGAACGCATGCTTCGATTAATATTAATGACTTTCAATGTCATTTTTCATGACTTATGTCACGACTGTCGCTGCCGCTGCTACCGCTGCCGCTGCTGCCGCTGCCGCTGATGATGCACATGCCTCTTTGATGCACATGATCTAGCCTTACTATACAGAACAATATAAGACTTGCCACCAAATACCCATTGGCGCCGAAACAGCCATCGACTTGCAGCTGTGCTGCCCCTCAACAGAGACTTTCTTTGATTGGACTGTTCGTCGGCAAAGGAAAAGGCATTTTTCCACCCCTGATAAGAAGAAATGACTTGGTGGCAGCCTATAAGCTGACCAGACTGTGCATAAAAGAAAGTTCACTGTCCAAGGTGTATAGCCGTCAAACCATTCACATTATTTTTATCTCGTCCGTGCGGAGGAATTTCGGTGCAATTGTGAACCAGTGGTTGGTGAGAGGCGCCCGCATTGGAGGAGAAGTCACATAGTCATGAATTGGGCTTTAAAGTTATTTTCGTTGCGGCGGTCACTTTTTCGCCTTTGACGCGTCAGAATGCACCACCTTTCATCTGAAACGAATTATCTCCAGGTACGTCTCGCCTTACGTAAAAAATAGCGAAAAATATTAATATTCATTTTCCAAGTACAAAATCTGCACCGGAGGTAATGGGAAGTGCAATAATACGTTGGTCATCAGCACCGTAATATCGTCATCTTTATTAGTGGTGATATGTCCTCTATGTGAAAGCCTAAGTGAACCAATTCCAAATTTGCAGATACCAACACCAAGGGGTAATTCCCATTATGGGGTGCCCTGGATGCTCGAAAGGCTTCACCACCCTCCTCATCCCGAAACAATTTCCGCTGTCCCTTCAGAGATGTACATTATAAGCGCTGGACAAGACGCTCACGGTGGTGTGCCTTGTGTCCAAATAATTAAAAGTTATTAAATACTTGTTGGTAGCTGTTCGCCGCGATGCACAACGGCGTATGTACCGCAATGCTCCTCCGCCGTCACCGGCACCACCGGAAGCTGTGCGGCCACGACACGAGAAAAGGAACGGGCTCAGTGGCGTGCGTACAACTGTCCAGCGACACGCGCCACATCGAGCATCTGCTGCAGTCCACCTCCCAGCTGGACGGGTGAGCCGCTGCTGCAGGACCCCCCCGGACGAGCAGCACCAGCGCATCTCGGGCCAGAGGCGAACTGCGCTTGCGCCGTCGCACTTCCAACGCACTGCATCTGCGAACTGCTGCAGCGCCTGGACACCAGGGCCTAGAGGACAAGGCCCCTGTGGCGGTTTACACGGGTGCAGGGTTGGCCACTAATGCGTTGCACTGTTGTGTTCACCTGCGCGTGTGTGGAGGAGGGCAGGCACTGACCGGCGTCTCATAAATGGTCTGCAAGGTCAGCCATCCACGGCCCGTGTCTCAGCTCCAGAGACGCCAGCCCCACGTCCCTCTTAGCCACTCTGGGAGTCTAGGCACAAGCTGCTTTGGCGCAAGCGCAAGCGGCTGCTGCTGGCCGCGCCGAGCCCAAGAAGCAGCTGGGCACTCATAGCTCGGGACAGAGACTCGGTGCGTCGACACAATCTAGCCACGACTCCCAGAAATGTCAAAAGAACAAGGACGAGTTTTTGGCCTTCGGGATGGAACAAAACATTCTTCTATGTACGCAGGTCTACGTTGAAGAAGATAGTAAAAGACAGAAAGTATGTGAAGTAATGGTTTCTCTGGTGTCATCCTTGTGTATCATTTGAAAATGATAAGTTCGTTTTTATTTATGATCAGAGAAACAGACTGCTGGTTCTGTCGGGCCCCTTCGATTTGTGAAATGCATTGCCACATGGAATGTTCTATCATCGCATGGATTCGGTAATTACTAAGGGCTCTGTGTGCTAAGCGGTCAGGTTTGCTCCAGACCAGACTGACTCTGTTCGGAAGATGTCAAAAGTCATCCTGAGGTTCGCAGGGCAACTGTACCCAACCACTTAAATGGAAACTGTCGCAAGCCACAGTTGCATGAGTATCGGGTCATTGGGGCACAGACTCCGAGCCTTTGCTCGCGCGTTCATGCCAGGCGTTATCAGCGCACTGTGTTTGTGACTCTTGCTGAACTAATTAAGTTGAAGCAGATTCGTTGATGGATGACTCTTAGTCGAACGCCTTACATGAGTTGATTATTGACACTTAGTAAACCAGGTCGCCAGATCTCAGCAGGTTGTACGCGCTACGATTGATGTTTTACCCCCCGGACCGCTCGGCTGGTGGGCGCCCTCGTCTGACCCAGTTTCCTGCGTCGCACCGACTTCTGCTGGGTGGGCTTGCGCCCAGAACACGTCGCACACCGAACTGTAGCCTAGCGGCTCCATCATGTGCATCACGGACGGCACGGCAGTTGTGACCAGGCAGGGCAGGCGGCGCTGCAGGCAGAGCCGGGTGAGCTCGGCCATCGCCACCCGCGCCAAGCCTCGCCCCCGGTGCGACTCCAGCGTGTGCAGGAAGCCCAGCACCGCGTTTCTGTTGAGAAGCACCCAGCAGACGAGCTCGCCGTCAGGTGATGACGCCACGTCATTGTCGGCGGCGACGAACACGCCGACGCTGAGGCCAACCGTCATGCCGTCACGCATCTCACCGTCGGCATCGGCGGTAACCGCGGTGTACGGCCAGAAGCGCTTGACGGTGTCCAGGTGGATACTGTTCAAAGGCCTCACAGAGACGCCCGGCGGGCTGTGAACGAGGGTCAGGCGGACATACACAGTCAGTGAAAGCACTACCTGCCTGTGCTGCGT